TCGTTACATGGCGCAGCACTGACATGTCACGACTTGCAGCAGCTGGGAAAGCCGCTGCCACCACCACTAGGGCCATTTGGGCCTTTGACAAGCCACCAAAAACGGAGGGCAGCACCCTAGGCCAAAGATCGGAGAGGAACTTGATAAATGATGCTTGCCCACACAAGGCTTCACCCACCATAAGGCATGCTAAGGCCCGGCCCGCCACTGGACCAAGCACTGCTGATGCACTCTTGGCATAGGAGTCACGACCTGTGATGTGAGATATGGTAATGATGAGGCGCAAGGAGGTAGCCAAGCAGTATGTGCCGAAGAGCAGCGTGAGGATGCCTATGGGGATGCCCACGAGACTGAAAGCGTAAGGCAGCAACAGCACGCCGGAGCCGATTGCTGCTGACATCAGCGTGAAGATGGATCCCCGCAAAGAGCCTCGCTGCATCGGCCCCAGGGTGCGCTCTGCCCATGACCGCGGAGATCGCGGAGACCGCGGCAAAGAGTGGGAGCTGTCCATGGCACAAGTGAAGCGGATGCAATGCGCTTGCTGAAACCTCGTAATTATTCGACAGCGCGTTCGAAAAACACCTTGCATGGGCAATATGCAACACATGCAGTCACTAATGTACTTCTGCTTGCTTTGAGCAACACGTCACTGCAAATGTCAAAACTTTGTGTGAGTGCCAGTCAAGTGGTCACGGCCGGCACCCTCAATGTTTTGCAGAAGGCTATGAAAATGGGCCTCAATGCAGCTGCCTCGTTCTTCCACAGATCCCTTGGTATTCCGCACAAAACTCAACAGAACATGCGATCCTGAGTCACAGGGATCTAAGTTGCAGACGTCAACAAATCCCTGGCATATTGAGGCAATGCCAAGAGCTCCTGAGAAGGCAACTGCTTCTATACAATGCCATGGCCGTTGCAATTTGTGCAAGTTCTCCTTGGATTTCTTGTCAGGCTTGACAAAAAGAGCCTCGTAGCCCTCCTTTCGCCATTTCGCATGCGCCTGTGCTGTGGCTCACTTCAACACCAGGCTGACTGAGGCCCAGAATAGAATGCAGTTCCAGCAAACCATGCACACTCAATCCAATAGCTCAGTGTGGGGTTCGTCTTGGCCCAGCAGCCGTCCCTGTCTCCAAAAGCATAGGCCAGCCTTGCAGCGTGCGCAGGAATTCGGCATTTCAGCAAAGAAGCTGGCAATGACCTCAGGCAGTGCGCTACGTGTACAAGGTGATCCAGTGATCCAGCACGACAAGACACAGCGCAGTCAAGCATTGCCGGCTGAGCATCTCACTGCTCGCAGTGCTTCTATGGAAGCAGAGTTCTGGCACACTGAAACTGCACGAAGCACATGTTTGCTGAAAGGGAGTAGCTTATTCCGCTGCGGTTGAGCTTGGCTTAAAGCCATTGCCCATCCCAGTCCCGTCCTGTCGTCCTGCTCCGCTCGGCGTCTTTGCATCCGCTTTCTGTGCCTTGCAATTGCAAGGTGCCGGGCCAATCTTGAATGTTGCCTCTGAGGACAAGGTGGCAGTATACAGGAAAGCTGCAAAACTGGCATTCGCAACTCTTGGCGAAGAAGGATTTTGACATTCACGCCTTCTCCCGTGCAGAATCCAGCTTTTTGATGAGCGAATCAATAGCCTGGCAATGCAAACGCCTCGCCAAAACTCTCGGCTATAGGAAAATAGCCCCTCCTGCCCCGTTTCCTTCACATCACGCTCTGGAAGAATCTCCCTCTTCATCGACACGCCTTGGCCCCACTTGAAGCCATGGCACTTTAGATGGACAAAGCTAGCCCGTTTCTTCAGTTCCAGCTTGGAGCTTGGGGTCTGAGCCTTCTTTGGTAATCTCTTCAATCACCAAAGTCATGCTCTCGGAGTGGGCAGCATCGCTCAGGAAGGCAGACCTGGAAGAAGCTCTCTGAGACTAAAGGTGCTGCTTGATTGGCCTTGACTTCATTGCCGGAGCAGGTGGTGCTGGTAGATCGCCAGGTAGCAACCCTTGCAGGTGTAGTACCTAAACATTGTTTCCAGCTTGTGATTGGCAGCTGGCGACAAACAATGCTGACGTCACTGCAAGAGGAAAATCTCAGGGCAGCGCAAGCGCAGCAGTCACGGCCTCTTCCCATCAAGTGAAAGTGAAACAAGTCAGACAAAACATCCTCGCGGACTGGAAATCATACCCATCCATTGACATGCTTCACGCGTGTGGCCCTACGAGCGCCACCGAAATCAACGTTTCCAACCAGCGGAAATCGCAATCCAAAATAGGTGTTTTTCTTTCTTGGCAACGCTCCTGTTGTTGCACCCCGTTTGAAGCGGTGCCTGGAGCATCTGGTGCTCTCAGCGCTACCATGTTCGCATGTTAGCGGACTCAGCTGAAACACCTGATGACCATTGGTGAGTCAATAAATCATTGGGTGGACAGTCGAGTTGAAGTCATTTGAACGTTGTCATCCACATTTTGCCACTAGTGGCCTAAGTTCAAGCTACTGGACTTAGTTAAACCACATTGACATAGTTCCCGTGTGCCTGTCAATTGAAACAAACGGTTTCCATGGACGCGCGTACTTGATTTTGTGCTGTTTCACTGACGATCACATCTGTACAACCAGCTTCTTCACGCTGACATCATCATTAGTTCCCAAGAGACTGCAAACACCGCGCATAGTCTGACCGTGTGCCGGAAAATGGCTATTGACAGCGTGCAGCCAAACGCCTCGTGGCACTTGAACTTGTGGCAGTTGAGGCACGTCCTGAACTGAATCACTTTGTGCCGTACCGTTCATGTGAGCAACTTCTCCAAATGCAAACAGCAGGCTTAGCTCAAAGCTGTCTCAGCAGCTTCAGCAAAGGCGCGATCAGGAACGGGTTGTATAGCCTGAACCATGCTGCCAAATGTCAAAATTGAATGGTAACAGCACGCCGAGAGTTAGGATTTGTTTTTCGCGTGAACATGTCCAGTTCAGCATTGTACGGGCAAATTCACTGAAGCTGGGCTCTTCACTTTTGTTGCTCAGGGAAGAGCCAACATGGCAAAGGCAGGCAAGTCTAGAATGACAAAAAGCCGGGGCTCAAGCGGGCTGGATAGCTCAATGTGCCTCAGAAGCAAATAACAACAGCACTACTCACGACGACTCTCGTCAGGTGCTGTCCAATTGAAATATCATAAGAGAAGCACCCCATGTGGCCTGGACAGTCCTGGTCCAGACCACATGTCTGGCACACCATGCTGCCTGGAGACAATGCCATGCAGGATTTCTACATCGAAGGGCATAAGCCCCGTGCAGTTCCTGAAGTCCTTCAAAGGTCCCATTTCCAGCCTTGCCCATAAGTCAGAGTACGCAACGCATATGTGTGCCAAAACGGAGCGTGCCATCATATAAGCTGTTGGCGAGTGTAGCCCGCCACTAATTGGCGCTCCCCACTCGTCGTTGGTGGAGAGGTCGTTGATCTCATATGTTCACTCAAAGTACAACTCTCTCTCTCTCTCTTTCTCTGTCTCCTTCTCTCTCTCTCTCTCTCTCTTTCTCTCTGAAACCACTTTGTGCCGATTCCGGGAAGCAAAAGCGGACAATGCCATGACACCTCCACAGCGCTGAGGTTCTTCACCTCCTGTAGTGTTGGCTTATCTCGCTTCCGAGCGTGTTCTCTAACTACATACAGGGAATACGAGCAAGCCGCTTGCATGATGCCATCAGTGAATCGCATCCCTGTTTTCAACGTAGATATTACGTCACACATCTTGGCCATCATCTGGGAGGTACTTGTTCTGTTGCCAATCAAAAGCATTGGAGAAAGTATGTGAGAACGAACTGGGGATGGGAGCAGCAGAGATGACTTCGATTCAGCAGGATAGAATCGAATGGCAATCAAACAAGCAAAACACATCTTTGCCTTCTTTAAATCCCTGCTAGTTATCATACAGCAGCAAACAAGAATGCGCCGACTGCGTGATGATCTCCCCCTCCTCGGGCGAGAAGTACATGAATCCCACCTCTGTTGCCTCCGAGTCTCAATGCACGCCGGAAACGATCGAACACGTGTTCCTCCCGCCTCCCGGCCACATGACGACGCGGGTAAGTCATAGGGCGTCCCGAACTCCATGTGTTTCACACTCCTGCGCTGGTGCGGTGACACCAAAACTTGTCTTACCCATGCAAGGCCTCCCAAAAGCTCTACTTCAGGTGGATGTCCAATGCCATGGTGCTGCGAGCAGCATTTGGGCATTGCTCAATGGTCATCTAATCAGGCTGATAAGTAGTGTGCTGGTCCAATAAGTTGTGTGAGGTAGGGTCTTTAGTGACATGGCTGCTGGCAAAACGCAAATGTCTAGTGTCCTTCGAACAAGCTGGTCATGTTTGCAGTTCTGGGATGGTTCTGAGTGTGGTTCCAAGTTGCATTGTCATGACACTGGGTTGTATAAGTAATTCACGGGCCAGGATTCGAAGGATTGCAGGGTGTCGACATCTTCAATCGCAAAGGGTGCATGCCTGTTGGCAATTAGTCTGTCATTGCGGTGTATCTTGAGCATTCATCATGACGGCATGCAATGACTCCAAGCAGCTGCGCAAACCTTGAAGAAAATTCGATCGGGCGAATTCAGTACAAATCGACGAGCTGGCATTCGGAAGAACTGGAGACAAGATTCATCCCAGGAGCGGCAATCTTTGAATACCAACTTTGCAATACTCCAAAGACCATACATAGTCTCCAAAGAAAAACGCCTGATGGGAAAGCACAATGAAGTGTACGCGTGTAGATGTATTGAATTTAGTACATCTATATATATGGTCCCGTGTTCCGTGTTGCTACCCCCCCCCCCCCCCATATGGTATGGGTCCCCCAGGACCCCCCCCCGGATCCTGTCACCTACGCTCCCACCCCCACCCCGACCCCCTGAACTCGCACCCCGACACCCCGACACCCCGACACCCCCACCCCCAGGACACCCTAAACTAACCCCAAATGCACCCTAAACCAATCCCTAAACAATAAACCCTAAACCTAAGCCAACCCTAAACCAACCCTAAACTAACCCTAAACCAACCCTAAATACACCCTAAACAATAAACCCTAAACCTAAGCCAACCCTAAACCAACCCTAAACTAACCCTAAACCAACCCTAAATACGCCCTAAACCAAACCCTAAACCGTAAACCTAAACCAACCCTAAATCAACATACACCAACCCTAAACCAACCCTAAACTAACCCTAAATACACCCTAAATATACCCTATAAACCAATTCTAAACCAACTCTAAACCACCACAACCCAACCACAGGACCACAACCACAGGGGGGGGGGGGGTACTTGTCTGACCCATGACCATTGGTGGGGGGGGGGGGCTGGCAACGCTGCACCATATATATTTATATATGTCTACATATTATGCTCCTTCCCTCTCCCCCTCCAAGGCCCACCTTTGAAAACTTGATAAGCGCAGCATAAACTTGTGATGCAAATGTCCGTTGCACGTTTGCAACTTTAGGCTTGACTTCCTGCTTTAGGCAAAACCGTCAAATTAGCGTTTCATCCGAACACTTTGAGAGTGTTGCTGGCTTTCAAAGTGTGGGCCAATGTTCAAAAAGCGCACTGTGGCAGCTCAAGCTCTAAAGCCCGCACCGCGACAACCAAAAACAAAGAGATAGGGGTTCATCTATCTATCTCTCCCTCTCCATCCATTTATCTATCTAGCCTTCCATTCAACTATCTATCTATCTATCCATCCTCCATCCATCCAATCTATCTCTCTCTGTCTAGCTATCCATCTATCTAGCTCTCTCTTTCTAGATGTATATATATATATATGAAATGTATCTAGTTGTCCGCCTATGTGTCTATCTCTCTCTCTCTCTCTCGCTCTCTGTCTATCCATCTATCTCGCTATCTATCTTATCTCTCTATCTATCTTTGTATTTGTGTACCCTCCTGCTGGAGTTCTCTCCTTGTGGCTATCTCTCTATCTCTCTCGCTCTCTCTGTCCACCTATTTATCTGTCTATCTACCCATTTGTCTATCCACTTTCCAGGCAACTGTTTATTCTAAAGTTTTTTACTTGGGCCCTTGTTATGGGCCGCTAATGGCTGAAAAATACATACACTATATATACCCCTTATGTATTGGGTACGTAGCACAAGGACCAGGTGGCTGGATGTGTGCGTTTCTCAACTGCTGCCTCTGGAGTAGCAATCTTTGACGACAGCAATCTTGAAAGGTTCCAACTCCATTGGGACTCTTCGTGCTAAGCCCCCAAACCCCGGTCCCAAAAATAGGGGCCCATTCAGGAAACCCACTGGCACAGACAGTTTCCTGAATGGGCCCCTATTTTGGGAACTCAGATGTTTGGGTCCTTGGTTGCCCTTTTGCTGAATCAAACTTGCAGATTTGCGTTCGTTGGAACTATCGTCTCTCTCGCCCGAAAACCACAAAAATAATGGCCCATAACAGTGGCCCATGTAAAATTCTTTAGATTTATGGGCTCTATCCATCTATATGTCTTCTATCTTTCTCTCTGTCTCTCTCTCTCTCTCTCTCTTCTCTCTTCTCTCTTCTATCTACCTATCTATCGACCTTGCGAAAGGGCTGCCCGCCACGCAGTTTAAACCTTGCGAAACCTTCGAGATGCCATGACAACACCGCGAGCCGAGACCGCGCGCAGAGAGGGAGAAGAGCACGCGCACAGAGAGGGAGGTAAAGGGAGAACTCTGATGCAGACCCGCCACTCTTTTTCGCGGTTTGCATTCCCTACTACATGCCCCCCCATGTTTTCTCGCAGGCCTTCTTGCTTGCTTCGTCCTATCTCTGCGCAAAAATACCTTTCACTTAGCGTCCGTACTACGGAAGTTCTGTCTAAACTTTCTTCGAAGACTAGCATCATTATTACTCTTCGCATTATTCGCATTACTATCATGTGGCACAGCGGCAGCTTTTGTCTCGCTTCATTTGTGATGCTTGTTGCTCACGGGCCTGAGAGAACCATGGAGTTGAAAGATTCCAGACTTTCAAATCCCAGGGCCAGCATTGCTTCTGCCTCTCAGTCCGGCACCCTTTCTTCTTCTCGTTCATGGCCACTTTCACTGCATGCCGACCTGGCGACGCTTTCAGCAGAGTCTTGGCTCCGTCGGGTCCGTGCTCAGCAGAGCATACTGAAATGTGTCGATCACGGTACAGAGTTGGCCTGTATAAAGGCCAAGTCGGGCGAGGCACCTCCACGTCCAATGCCAATGATGTAAAGCCTGCACAACAGCTACCCACACACTGCTATGCCTGCATCAGACAATGGGCTCACAGTCCTTACATTGTAGCATGCTTCCTTCCACGCAATGGGCCAAACTTGCTCTCGCAAAGAAAGCACCGTTTTGCAAGCCTGATGCATGCTCCAATGAAAGAACTTGACACGGACCCGATGTGTGAAATTATGTTTCCTTGAGACCTGGCTTCAAAGGCTTCCACCCTTCTCTTTCTTTTCTTCTTTGTTTTCGTCTTTCTTTCTTTCTTTCTTTCTGTCTTTCTTTCTTTCTTTCTTTCTTTCTTTCTTTCTTTCTTTCTTTCTTTTCTTTCTTTCTTTCTTTCTTTCTTTCTTTCTTTCTTTCTTTCTTTCTCTCTTTCTCTCTTTCTCTCTTTCTCACTTTCTCTCTTTCTCTCTTTCTCTCTTTCTCTCTTTCTCTCTTTCTCTCTTTCTCTCTTTCTCTCTTTCTCTCTTTCTCTCTTTCTCTCTCTCTTTCTCTCTTTCTCTCTTTCTCTCTTTCTCTCTTTCTCTCTTTCTCTCTTTCTCTCTTTCTTTCCTTCCTTCTTTCTTTCTTTCTTTCTTTCTTTCTTTTCTTCTCTCCTTTTGTATCTCTCTCTCTCTCGCTCTGCGGATGTACTTTCGACTTGCATCTAAATTCCTTCCATATTGCATGGCCCCGAAAACTAGTGTCGTAGGTCTTTCCAGACTGGCTCGTGTATCGGGAGCACTGGGTTGGGCCCACATTGACATGACAGGCCCTCTTTGAAAAGACCACTTACGTTGCTGCTAGCGAGTGCGGGTGGTTGTACTCTCCTGTTGTTGGGCCTTGTAAAGAACAAGCAAGCTTTTGCTAGGCTCCAGACTCCACTGACGTCTTTGCTTTGTCTTCTGCAGATTCACCGCCAGTGTGTAACTGGGCATCGCTGCAGGAACCAGACGAAACAGAATAGGCTGGCTCGACTTCATTCAGCCAGCCATGAGGTCAATGCAGAAAATCGCTACTCCGTCATGCACATCTGCAAATAAATGGCAATTGTAGTTTCTGTCCACCCTATTGAGGTCAAAAGGAAATTTCACAAATAAACATGGCAGCACCAGCAGAGAGCACATTTCTGCTCGCTACACGAACGCTGGCAATATCATCTTAGAAAGCCAGCACGCTCAACAAAAACATGCTCAAGCCAATTTTTGCCCTGGAGACTCTGCCGCTGTCCGAAATGAGCGCTGCACATACTTGTCTTTCTTTGCAACTGTCACCATCTCCTCAGCAAAGCCAAGGGCAAGCACACCTATGATGCATCAGGAGTGAAAACTGTTGGCAAAACAAGTCTGGAAATGAGGAAACAACTATGACAAAGCGCACAAGCAAGTCGATACAACCAAGATTTCACCAACTCCTCGCTGCCTGCTTTCAGTACAGTGGAATGAAATATGAAGCTAGCCGTCTCGATGCAGGACTGTATGGCGACAGTGCTAACAATTGGAAAGGAAAGCAAGCAACGAAGACTAGGCAAACTGCAGACTGCTGTGGGTCGCATGAGCTGGGAGCTTTCAGAGAAGCATGGATTTGGAAGGTTTGGAAGCACATCAGAATGACAAAGCTATGTGAGAAGTGCGCTCGGGGACTTCAATGGGTACTTGCCATTTGGCTGGCATGCAGGCAGTGCTGAACGGGTGTCGCTTTTTATTGGGCAGGGGTGTGTTCGTAGTTCTGAGAGCAGCTACGCCTCAAGCACGCGCGCAGTGCTGAGTGGTTTGTTGGAGCGAATAGTTGATCATCTGGCAGTGCGAGCAATGCAGGCATCGTTTTGGAAGGCCTGCGCGCTGCGCTGAGGGGGCGCGCTGGAGCAGGGGCGCTTGCTCGGACAGCGCGTGCGCAGTGCTTTGCGACTACTCTGGAGAAAGCGTGCTTGCCAAACCTTGTCGTTTGGCAAGCATGCAATGTGTGCAACGCTGACGGGCGCTCTTCAGCGTGCGCATTTGGCAGCACGTCCAAGCATCTCCCGCAAGTCAGCCTACCGCATTCCTGCTTGAGCTGCCCCTTCTCCAGCATTGTCTGCTCGCATCTGCTCACTTAACATGCTCACCTCTCGTCGCTTACATCCGGAATCACACGCTCTGTCTCTCTCTCTCTCTCTCTCTTGCTCGCTTCCTGCATTTGACTTTCAGCAAAGCTGGACCGCATATCAGGTTTCACGCCCTCGCATCTTTGAGCTGAACATCTAGTGGTGACATCTTTCTGCGCGATCTCTCAAGCTTTCTTTCTTATGCTCTCCTGAAACATGCCAAAATGCGGCATGCGTCAAGTTGACAAGCTCGGAGTGCAAAACAAACCATAGTTGCAGCTTCGCGGCATTGTTCAGGAAGCGCTTGGTCTGTCCCTGGCACACAAGGTACTCCAAGAGAAAGTGCGTGTGCAAACTTGGCAGCTGGCTTCCCAGCGTCAGCACATGAGCCAGTGAGCCATGCACATCAAGTCCTGGGCCTTGCTGGATTTGTTCTTCCACGCAGACTTCATGAATTGGCGCTGTCCCATGGTCCTTGAGCAAGGAGTCGCAAAGCAAATGGAGGGACCGATTTGCACACTTAGAATAGCTGACACAGCTGCGCCATCTGCGTTTCTCGAGCTAACTCTGTCACCCCTGGGGCGCCGGCTTCCGGCGAACATGCGCCAGAGTGTTGGTGCGCCTGAGCAAAAACATCAGCCAAAGGAAGCGTCTTTAACATGACCAGGTTGATCGCGTGTCATGCAACAGTTTCTGGATGCTTAGAGGCGAGGATGATGTCGGCTCTCTTTGGCTGCATTTGCTCATCCTCAAAGTTGCACTTCTGCAACCACCTAACATACCTTGACCAGGTCTCCCCAAACGAAGCAATGCTGAGATGGAGGAAAGCGACCAATGGCGTCAGCCTAATGCTGATGCCTTCATGAAACCCCTGATTAAAGACTTGTTGCATTGCCGGCCGACTGCAACCTTCAAGATCTTTGAAGCACCCAAGATTTGGCCAAAAGTGTCCTGTCTAATTCGGTTTGGGCACCCACCACAATCCTCAGAGGAGAGGTCACAGGAGCCCAGGGACTCCGAAAAAAGGTTTTCCAAATCCTCTTCCACCTTGATCGGAGGAGAGGGCTTGCGCTGTTCACGATACAGAACGAACACCAGGTCAAGACACAGCAAGCTGTGAGCTCAGCATTTTGTTTTGTCACTTCGCCACTGACAAGCATAGGATGACGCAGCTTGCAGCATCGGTGCGACGCAATGCTGTTGTCACGTGGGATTAACTCTGAAGGTCATCGGAGTCATTGTCACCAGTGCCAGCGTCCCATAGCTTCCAAGGCTATTCTAGTTTGCGTAGCTCTGCTGTCAGTCTTGGAACCAGCTCCGCGGCAAACTTAAGGTGACCCAAGGCAGTGAGGTGGATGCCGTCGGTGAAGTCCGCATTACAATCCAGCCAGGGTGCGTCAGGGGGTCCTGATGTGACTCTGCAGGGTGACCAGGGGCCCCTTCTTTGTGACCATGCAGCCCAATCAAAGCTGATCCCTGCAAAGTTTTTGGTTGGTCCCCTAGGTCATTTCAGAAGTGAAACTTTTGGCTCGTGCTTGCCCTGTTCAATTGGCTTATCCTTCTTTGTTGGTCCTGTGAATTGAAGGCGCACCTTCTTGTCCTCAAGGCCCTTGACAGCTTCTGTGAGGCTTTCAAGCATTGTCTGCCATTTGGACTCTTGAGAACAGCTGTACAAGAGAGGCACAATGCAAAGTACCATTGCTTGAGGATACTTGCTCCTGACAAGCATCAGAAACTCCACATAGGCGGACTGAAATTCTGCGCCAGATGGACTGCCAAGGTGAAAGTCATTTGTTCCCAAATAAACCAGGACCACATCTGCTTGCCAGAGTTGAAAGTCCCACAACGTCGTGCACCACAGGCTACTCCATTGGCGGCATGGAAATCGATCCTTCATACCCAGACCAAATTCATTGGGCAGAACTCCTATGCCTGACTTTGCCACCACACGCCAATCAGTAGTGTTCCAGGCATCTGCAACATGTCGCACCCACGACTTGAACACATCCTGCGACGTTTGCACTGCTGACAAACTTGCTTCAATGGCTGCGGTTTGTCTTGTCTGCAGCGCCACCGCCAAACAGCATCGAGCTTTCAAACGCTTGCTCAACTCTTACTCTCCCATCCTGATCCGCCAATCCAAGGATTCCTGTGCTTGAACAACATCACTAGTTACTTGATACATCACTACCTACTTGATCCTAGCGGTCCTAACGCGTCCTCGTTGCTCTCATTGCCGTGTGCCCCAGACCGCGCGGGCGCCTCAGCTGCCGCTCCAGCGGCAATAGAATCGCCCACCACCTCCAGGCGGAGGCCACGAGGTGGCAGCGGATCCTGAGTCGAGACACATGCAGCACTGACTTCAAGGGCAGAGCACCACACACGCACAACTCAACATGTGAATCTGACCAACAACAAAAAAGCAACAATTGCAACCCATTGCGAGTCAAACCGGGCAAAATGGCAGGCGCATGTTTTATGTGAATTCGCGCAGGTCGCAGGTACTCCCTAACATTGTGTGAATCTAGGTGCTCATCACGAACGCACTTGTCTACATTGGCTGAAGACGCGTTAGCGTATGCTGCGGTATCAACTGGTCCGTTCGCCCTTCACATGCGGCGCATTTTGTCTCCAAACGACAAAGTCAGATTGACAAAGGTGGGACACGGCCAGGAAGATTTCGACTAACACGACACGGCCAGAAACTGTAAGTAGGTAAGTAGGGAAAGCCGCCTTTTGGTCGTCCTTTTGTAAGTAGGTTTCTTCGATGTGTGAATGTCTCCAATCGAAGGCCCAGGGGCTTCTCTGTGTGTAACATGCAGTCACGAGCATGCCTTTCACGTTTTGCTTGACAACGGGGCCAAGAATGACAGGTACCTGTTTGTGTGCCTGGGCGTTGTGATGGCATGCCCCCCCCTCAAAAACAACAGATGTTTGCTGTTTCAATCAGCGACGTCATCTTTGACGTTTGCCAAGCGACGTCACCTTTGACGTTTACCAAGACGACTCGCAGTTACTCGCAAGTTGTGTCCGCCATCAGTTTGTGATGTCACCTTTGACGTTTACCAAGGACTCTCGCAAGACACGTTTGATGTATAGCCAGGCACGTTTGATGAAAACTAAGGATGCTCGCAAGACACCCTTGATGTTTACCAAGGATGCTCGCAGCATACCTTTGACGTTTTCCAAGGATACTCACCGTGTCTGACGTTTACCACGATTCACTTCTTTCTACTACCTTGACCTCCTTTTGCTCTCTTCCCATCTGGGTGTGTGTGTGTGTGGGTTTATGTGTGATTGTGTATGTGTGTATGTGTGTATGTGTGTTCGTGTTGCGTTTGTGTGGAAGTCGAAGCAGGATGTAAATGACAAGGACTTCTACCGTTTTACACAAGCCTGGCGTCTAGTGTCTGCGCATATTTGCACGTGCTCCAATGAGGCAAAGCCGAATATTCTTGCCCGAGATGGTTTCAAGCTGAGGGTCCATTGCAGTGGCGCCAGGGTCCAGCCACAGGCTTTCCAGCACAGTCTCGCCAAAGGCAGCTTCAGTGTCGCGGCCGCAGCGCACACTGTGCACCTGCCAAACGACAGCATGAAACACAAGAACAGCAACAGCGAGAACAGCCTGAACAGCAGGCTTGGTCCAGACAACTGTTTCTCTACAGGCATCAACCTATGATCTCCAAGAACGCTATCAAGCATATGGCAACTATGACAACTTTGCGACACGCAAGTTCGCCTCCCGCGTGAGGCCTGTGATGCGCAGCTCGCTACCCTGTAGCTTGATCTCCCGGCCGTCAACAAAGCAAGTGTAGCGCTGCACCGACCCAAGCCGCACGGAGAGCGTGGAGGAGCTGTGGAAAGCCACTGCAAATGAAGCTATGCCCCAAGAGCATCGCATCCTCCCATGATGGTACCAACGACCAGCAAAGGCGACCTTGTGAAAGGGGACAGGCTCAGGTACACGTCGCAAAACTGCCGCTGCCTGCTCTATTTGCTCATGCTGAAGCAGTATGCCCAGGAAGACCTGGATCCTCATCGATCGCATTCCGTTAGTCAAGTCACGAGGGATGGCGTGAATGAATTGGGTAAGGTCTTCAGCCAATGCGGCGTGCGCAGCTATGCCTCGAACAAACAGAAACGTGGGAGCGGGGAAAGGTGGTCCAAGAGGCCATTGTTTGCCTTGAGTCATATAGCGTACATACGTACTTGCATATAAGACAATTGTCCCATTGCAGTACCAAATATGTCAAACTCCTCTATGCTTCTAGCGAATGGCCCACAGACTGTGCAGATTTGTCAAATTTTATAGCTCATCCTGAGCTCGTGGCAAATCCATGAGTTCTTGCTCTGTGGGCGGCTCGTGGCCCTGAGCAAGACGCACAAACCGCTTTTTTGCAAACGATGGCCTTCGTTTGGCCCAGTCATTCGAATGCACCAACCCCAAACCGCATGCGTGTTGCAGCAACATAGTCTGGAAGCGATGACAAAGAGATCCTGTGCCTGCGATATGAAGAGCGCTGCCGCTTGAGACATGGGGATGCCCTGGGCACAAGGCCAAACAACTGCCGTCTCAGACCCACTAGCAAAGCACCCTTGACTCGCATATCTCTCTACACCATACACCAAAGTTGCAAACATGAAGCAGCGTCTGCCTGGATAAGAGTCTTCCACAAGAGCTGGGTGCGATCGTTCTCCTTTCGCATCGCCTCCATGCTCAACTCTGATCCCTTCCCGTCTGGCATGGTGACAAACCAGCGACTCCCGACGTGTCGATGCGCTCAGAGGCCAGGATTTTCATCTGAATTCAATTCTGGGCGAGAGCGGGTGAGAAACAGCTTTGTCTTCGAACATGTCCAAACATGTGCGAAATGATCAGAATTCATGAAACGCGGACTAAGCAAACACATTCTATAGACAAAGGGCTATGTGAAAACGTGACAACCCTAATATGCTGAATATGTTGAATCAAAGCCAGTAGCACTGGCCAGCATGCTGCCAAATCGAAGCCAAACACTGCATCTGGCAAAACAAGATTGCAAATACTGCCCATCGCTCTGCCATGAAACAGTGAGACAGCTGCTGCCGCGGCTTCGGCAACTTCACCTGAAAAGATGTACTCTCCAGCTTGACTCATTAAACCCGCTCTGACTCTGATGCCTGGGAAGGGGCAGTCCAAAGTGGGCCTATGGATTAGCTGGAGCATCGTCTAGATATGGGATATGTGTCTTTATCTATGCCTCCCTTGCGAATTCACTTGTCATAGCGGGCCATTGAATGAATTGCGGCTACTTCAGGACAGCTTTGAATTCTCACACTAGGCACCTTTGGCTGTGGATGCGGGAGGTCTCTGGGACAGTATTTTTTGGCTCTCGGCCGAGTCTATTATGCGCTTAGCAGTGTCGCGATCATGCCATGATTTTCATGCACCCAAGCTCCTGGCATAAACCACTCAATGTCATGACTTCGAGGAGCCTTGGCACTGCAAGCATAACTGACGGAATCACCCAAGTAACATCTTCAAGTGAACTGTCATAATGTGAGTGATGCGTCTCGAGTCCCAGCTTTTTGAAGTGCTTTGGCCACGAACAGCCCTTGCTTGGGAGAGACAAAACCAATACTGGAGCAACGCGAATGTGCTGAGGAATGTGCCGGCACTGAGGTTCGGATCAGTAGGCCTGCACCGTCGTTGGGCAGAGCATCGAAACGATCGGAAGGTTCTCATTCAAGCCTCTCAGCTGGCAGGCAACTGCTGAAAGCCTCTCAACTGTGAGGCCGGCACCTCCCCTTCAGGGTGCTACTCTGGTCAGTCTCCCTGCGAGGCGTGCAATGAGATAGCTCATGCGGGCGGGGCCTGTGCTTGACATGTTAAGAGACCTCTTGCCTGGAGTGTGAATGCACGGGAATGCTCTTTTCCGAAAAAGACCTCTGCCGAAATTGGCGGAAACATAGCTTTCCGTGTTGCCACGTGCTCCGTTGTTCAGCTATTTCTCGTGATAGCTTGAGGCTGTTTTCAACAGCTCAACTTGCGATCTCATGACTACAAGAGCAGCAGCTTGAAGCCCGAATCCAACAGCACAACTGCAGTTGCTCCTCGACTCGTTTCGGCAAATGACACCCTGGTCTGAGTCCGCAGGATCACTGCAACATGAGCTTCACGCAAGAACACGAGATCTGATGTATCAAGGATCACCGACATCAGCATCGAATCATGCGCCCAGAAGTTAACCTTATGTCACTGGTAAACGCGCGCGCATCATGCGTGAACTGGCGTTGTTGAGCAACCACGGTTCGCACATGCATTCGGGCAATGTGCAACGCCCGGTTTGCCAGTCAGAACCAACTGCGCATCCCATCCGTTGTCTTTACCTTGGCCGGACAAATACCTACCAATGCGACGTCATTGGCTCGGTCTTGCCTACCCAGCATGCGTGCTGTGTCACTAATACAGTACTTACTGTCTCTCAGGAGCAAGCAACAGCGGCTGACACGAAAAAGTGCCAGACAATGTTCAGTCTTTGCTTGGCTGACCAGGTTCGCAGGTCAAGTCGACTTGATCGTCCCCAGCCTGCGTCGGTCTTCGTCATTTCCTCCCATGTGGCCTTGCAACTGTCAGAGCTATCCACTAGAAAAGAACTGGAGAGACACCCCATGCAATATCCTTGTTTGCATGGCCAGACTCAGCCTTTGCTACGATGCAAGAACGGCAGGAATGGGCACCCACATACCGGCGTCGAGAGAAAGTGTCATGCATTCAGTCAGCGGATTGCTACGCTGCGATTCTCCACTTCTGCGCCTCGGTGGTAGACAAACTTCACCCGGTCCATGAAGCCCCGCTCATCGAAAATACCCTCATCCTGTCAGAAGGATTTCCCACATCGCATGAAAGGCATGTTTGATAGCACCTGAAAATGGAACCGGCTAAGAGGCATTGCCGGTCGTTGATGCTCTGTTACCGAAAGGCCACACAAATCAGGGCTACTGCCTGTGGCTGTCCTGAACCAGTCCTTGAAATGCTTGGTACAAAAGCAAGTCGCGCTTGAAATCTGCTGCAGCTCGGTCCTCCTTCTGCTTCTCCCGGCTCAACTGGACGGTAGCATGCATTTCCTGGCACAATAGGGCCCGTGTCAAAGCACCTTCAAGTCAATCCAGTATTGTGCGTGGTGCGCACGCACATAATCAAGTCAAGTGCTCGCAGCTCTCTTCAGAATAGGATGTTTGCGGCACACCAAATAATTTACACCAGCACGCTTCACCCGTGTTGTTGGAACATGGTATGACTAATTTGCAGTTTTCAGGCTCTCTCCGGCCTTGGACAGCTGGGGAAATACGCGCAATCTATTCGTGTCTTGGGACCATGGGTGGCGGAAGTCAAGCGACACAGCGACACTCTGCCATGTCTCCACATGTCCCCGGACCTGCAGATCTTCCACTCGCTCGATGATCTGTTTGAACATCTCTTCCAGACGGACGTCAGCCTTGTTGCCCCTCACCGGAGCAAACTTGATGTCTGTCGCATCCTGAGAAGGCACGAGATAGCTTAATCGAATGCCAATGCGCCAATATAGTTGAAACCGCTGAAATCTGCTGTTCAGATCAACTGCTCGAATCTTCCTTGCAGTTGCCTCTTTGCTGCGAGCAGCACGACGAATGCTTTGATTGTGACGATAACGGCATACACGCAATGCTTGCAGCGAATGCACGACTGCTCTTTACCGCATGTTTGGTATTGGGCAATTTGCAAAATCACTTGGATACAGCTTCTGATCGAGGCCTCGTTGTCTTGGCTAAGCTCTTGACTCACAGCGCATCCCTGCCCACCCTCTCTGAGGAGCCTGCCAGCATGGCCTTGCCGAGGCAAGCGATATTGCAGTAATTATTGCTGCGAACTTGACAAGCATCAATTCGGTCTTTTTCGAGGAAGGCTTTGGTAGATTGAACAGCATGCGGTCAGGAAATGCCATGAGGAGGCTCAATCAAATATCTCGGCATGCCTGTGCACATCAGGATACATAAAATGTTCTTGCTACTGCAACAGAAAGCTAGTCCACCAATTCTGCTTCGATGTTAGACCCCTCATTGGCTCTTGCAGATAGACTGTCGCCTTGCCCTAACAGCTGTCAGACAAGCCCGTGCCTTCTTCCGCTGGGGCAATCTACAAGAGTTCACCGTGCGGGAGAACAGCTGCTCAATGGCCATTGAAATCACGCCCACCTGGCGAGTTGCAACTTGCAATGAGTATCGCTCTCAAGTGAGACCTCTGGAGCCGGACAGACGGCGGGAATGTGCCTGGCTCTCCTTCACCTCCTTCTCCTCCAGAGCTCGGTTCAGGCGGCCCTCAAGCTCCTCACGTGACGGCCGGGATCCCGTGCATGATGCCAGGTAACATGCTGGCCTTGCCCAACAGTATCCACTGTTCGACACGGCACACCAAGCTGAAATGAGAATAAAAAGCGTAGCATCCAGATGCGTGGCAAAGTCTGACAGCATCCGACCTTGGCCTGTTTTTGCATGCACTGCCGGTGCAAATACGACAGGCAGCTAGCAGCTCCTGACTCTCTGCCAGGTGCTGTTCCAATTCAACCTGTGCAAGCAGCAGCACAGCAGGTGACAGTGCCAGGATGATTTCAAGCCCCTCGACCCAATTCGCATTGATTGCTGTTCTGACAAAGGGCATGCCACTGGCTCAAGGAATAAGCTCAGTGGAGTTGCTTGGCTTGGAAGAATTCTGCTAGGTGAGCCACTCTCTGAAATCGTTCCTTGCAAACACTGTGGCATTTGTTAGGCTTTGGCCTTAAAGGAGCCAGCCCAAAACGCCTTAAAGGAGCCAGCCGTCGGGCAAGGAAGGGCTAGCTGCCACGACTGGCCATATATCTTGGGTTCGTGTCAATGCCAGGGTTCAAACTCGCACATGCAATCTGCGCCTGACACTTGTGAAGCTGGCTGCTGATCGCCAAGTGCTCATTCTGCCTGGGTTCAAAGACCCAGTCAAGAGTGTCGACACTCCGCAAACGTATTAAGAACCTGATTCCTCCATTGCAATCCTAAGCCAATTTCAACACGCGTGCATGCGTGCGTGCGTGCGTGCGTGCGTGCGTGCGTGAGTGCGTGCGTGCATGCGTGCGTGCGTGCGTGCTTGCGTGCGTGCGTGCGTGCGTTGCATGCGTGCGTACGTGCGTGCGTGGCTGCGTGCGTGCCTGCGTGTGCGTGCGTGCGTGCGTGCATGCATATATGTGCGCGCGCACGTGAATGTGTGTGTGTGTGTGGGTGTGCGTGTGCGTGTGCGTGTGCGTGTGCGTGTGGGTGCGTGTGCGTGTGCGTGTGCGTGTGCGTGTGCGTGTGCGTGTGCGCGTGCGCGTGCGCGTGCGCGTGCGGGTGCGGGTGCGGGTGCGTGTGCGTGTGCGTGTGCGTGTGCGTGTGCGTGTGCGTGTGCGTGTGCGTGTGTTAACTATGCACTGGAAACCCGCGCAACTGCATTTCATCCTTCAGCTTGGGTTGGCGAGCAAATGGCCCAAACCCTTAGAATCCTAGAAAACCATCTAGCAGACTCTACATTGTATGCAGCATTGTTGCGCTGATGTAACGTTGAAGGAATCACAGCAGAAGGCAACCCAGGTTCTTTTTTCGTAGAACACATCCCTTCACACGACGGAGAAGTTTCATGGGAGAATCCGAATCGGAGAATTCCAAAGGAAAGCTCCAGTTAAACTCCAATGGGGGGACACTCCACTGTGAGAATTCTCATGCGAGAAATCGGAACAATTTCAGGGGTAAACTCTATTGCGGAGTTCTAAGAAGTCCAATGGGAGAACCCCGTGAAAGAAAATTGGAACATTCCTAAAGGAAAATTCCCATGAGAGAAGCCAGAACATCCAAAGCTAGAAGACGGGTGGCCCGCAAGCGTTTTCCATGACAGGCAGCCTGAATCGGTTCATCTTTCCAACTATCCAACGCGAATGCGAGCAAGGCAAAAGTGCCAAAAGCAACAATTTCCAAGGCATATGAAGAAAGACAACTCCGTTTGAAGACTTGCCATGGATGAAGAGACCACATCATTCCGACAACAGGGTTCCCATGCTGCAGAATTTCTGTAGATATTGTCTTTGCGCACATTGTTCTGCGCAGGTCTGGGCGTCGCTCTCAGCAAGTTGCAATTCGCAATGTACAAATGTACTTCGCGTACTATTTTTGAACTTGAAAATTGCGACTCTTCAGCCGGAGCTGCGGGAGCGCACTACGCGCGCTACTTTTGAACTTGAAAGTTGCGACTTTGCAGCTGGGATGCGGGAACGTGCTTCGCGTACTACTTTTGTGCATAAAAGTTCCGACATTGCAGC